AACAGTAATAGTTTTGACACAAGCGTGAGCAGTGTTGTGGCGGACGGAGCAACTTTGTGGAAGTACAAAATTTACTTAAGTCTAAAAATTACAAATATTAAGTGATGTTTAAATATAAAGCGATAAATTATTGTATTTACAAAAGTACATACATTTGTGACAAAATTCGTCACAGTAATTACGTTATCCTTAGTATGGATAATTCTTTTTTTTTTAATATAAAATAGTTGACAGACGAACTTACAGTTCATCCATTTGTTGGTGAGTGGATACTGCAGCCCATGGAAACCTGCAAGTAACTTCAAACAAAGGCCACGAATCCATTGTCACCTCTGAGGATTAAGACGGAACGCCTGATAATTTTACTGGCTCTCGTCCAAATATATAAATTGATATTATTTTCTTAAGAGGATAACGGGTGGCAAGACTTTTTGTAACAGACATATTGCTGTCGCGATGTGCCCGAACAACCAAGCTACACAATCGAGATAGAAAACAGCTGCTTGGTCTAATTATCGCTATGAAAAATTGATGAAATCGTTAATTTGTCAATGATATACAATTTTTTTTCAACTACATATCGAGAAGAATTCTCGTTTAGGAATCTCTTCTTATCTTTTATGATCTTTAAATTTTTTTGCTGGATTTCTGATAACGACGGTATAGCTGAGTAGAAGGTTCCTTTAGCTAGCTAGCTTTAAAATAAATTTCAAGAAAACAGAGGAATACGTTTGTATGAACTAAGTGCCGCCCAGATATCCTCCTAAGTTATTTATTGACAATCAGTTACTAAATAAAATAATTTGTTTAAATAGTGACGAGTAAGTTTTGTAAACAAATACAAATAACAAATTCTAAATCGATAAAATAATCTCAGCGATAGCCACGCATCAGTATTTTTTATACAAAATAAGATTTACTTATGAAATGAATGTTTTCTTATATTTACACGAATACTACACATTGAATAGAACTAGTTTTACGGATTCACTGGCCTCAACATTTAAAACAAATGCTTCAAAAAAAAATGAACGGCATAAAATCTGTAAAATTAGTTTCATTTAACATTTAGTTCAACTTATTGTAATAACACATACTCACTTTGCAACTAACAACCTGGTTTTAGATGGAGTTTTATTTTATGTGACAAATGGACGTACAGTCCACCTGATGGTCAGTGGCTACTGCAGCCTTTGGAAACCTGCAACCAACTTCAAATAAAGAAGGCTACAGATGCGTTGTCATCTGCGAGAACTAAATTAGAATGCCTCACATCCTGTAATCATACTGGCTCTATACCGTTCAGATCGGGCCACAGACATTTTTTGGAGGCAGAAATACGTAAAGTGGTACCAGCCCACACTAGTCCGAGGCATTTAAGGAGTCCTACTAACCAGTACAAATATTTATTCTACAAAGGCGGACTTAAGCCATAATGGCATTCTCTATCAGCTAAACTTTGGTGGTGCGGTGAGAGCTGTCTGTTTCGATCATTGGACAGATATGCATACAAAATATAAATTAATATACATAATATCATGTGTGTGCTTTTGACAGGACTTAATATCAATACCAGCTCTCGTTATAATAAATTAATACTATTATTATAACAGTATATGTAAGTACATACTAATAATATTTAATAATTAAATAATACTTATGATATTTATGTATTCAACATGTTTATGATGATTTTTAATTAATGACTCAAAACAAAAGCATATGTACAAAAGTATAATACGTTATGATTGGGAGCTTAGGACTGTAGAAAGGTTTTATTTTAGAAAATACAAAATTACATAAATAAGTCATTAATTAAAATTTTTACTAGTAGGGAATATCCATCTGTTTTAAACGTAATTAATTTATGTAGAGTTTATATAGAATGTAAGATATTAAACAACGAGTTAAGTCCACATTTTTTAAAATATTCCATAAGTTTTGTTAGGTTCTCTTCTACTTCTATCGATGAGAAGCTATTTACCCAATCTCGTAATACATCAAAAAAAAATTTATACAACAATTTAAGCATATCGGTTATCGGCACGTAACTTGAAACCCAAACACTTGTGGTGGTTTGTTCGTGCGCATTCATTTGCCAAATTACACGAATTCTTCTTACACCCTTCCAATGTTACACTACACTAATCACTAAAATTTCAATGGATAACGAATCAATCGAGCGAGATTGTTGTCACTAATTTCGGTACTTCACACCATTCGGTCAGGTCCCAAGTAACAACTGTTATAACAGCCTCGAAAATCTCATGAATATCATTATATTTAATAACAAACATCTTTATAAACAATTTGAGCGAGATTGTAGTCACTAACTTCGCGATTTAGGTACTTCACATCATTCGGTCAAGTCTCAAGAGATATAACAACAGTTAAAAGAGCTTCGAAAGGAGCAAGAATATAATTATAGTATAACAAATACCTTATTAAACAATTTGAGCGACAATACAACAACGGTGTTCAATTAATGTGATGATGGTTCAGCATAGTGGGGGCTAAGGCAAACTGGGGGGCGTGACGACGTGCATTTGCTTGGCGGGCACGCGATGGCCCTGCGCCAGCTCGCCCGTGCGCCACGCACGATATTTCAGGAACGCGTCGAACCCATACAACACCATCGCCAAGTAGCCGAAGAACTGCGGACGAAAGTACTAATTCTAAAGAGCTATTATTTTTTAATAATGTTAACCGTAAACCTCAGACCAACAGAGAAAGAAAGACGAAAAGCTGCGTACATTTCAAGTGACACAAAAACCAAGTCAAACCCATGCTTTAATATAAATTATTGTTATAACACACACTCACGTACACATATGCATCCAAAATCTATTGCAACCAATAACATAGTATTACATGCTTATGTGTGTATTCAGGAGTGAAATTTTAAGAGCTGATAAAGAAAGAAAGACGAAAGATGTGTGCGTGAGTGCGTGTCAAATAGTTGAAAATGGTTTCGGCGTCTCTTCAAATCTTTCTTTGTTATTCTAAGTCTTACACTAGAAAATTGTCCTGTATCGTAAAAGCATATATAATTTGAATAATATAGGCATTCAGACTCGGACAATTGTTTGTAGGTGATATAAAATATTTATTAACTTCCTTCTGCGTAGCATTGAAAAGAAGTTAATGGTTTTAGCTGGCAGTCTGTTAGTCTGTATGCCGACACGATAACTTCCGTTCCACTGGACCGATTGACTTTAAATTTGGTATGTGGATACCTTGAGGTAGTAGCTCGGTCGAGTTTGAATTTGGGTCCTGTAGGTCAAAGGGCACCAGAGATATGGGATTCACGCAGAAGGAAGTTGTTTTTCTTGAATTTACATTCAACTCGTTCTGTGTGGGATTCGAAGCCACGGCCCTCAGCTGCGTCGCAGTGAAACGCTTAGCCACCGAGCCGTCAAATGGCGTTGGCGTTTTCGCTATCACGAGGCAATGATCTTCATCACATTTCAATATTTATTAGACCTTTAAAATAAGCATCAAAATCTATCGGTGTTTTTATTTCTAGAACTCAAAATTAGATACCTTTAAAATATTTCAAGGTGCAGGTAAAAGATATTCTAATGAAGAAGGGATATTATAAATTAGATTAATATTTTAAAAAAAAAAACATGCGTTAGTGTCGTGGAACACTGATATACTGATAAACGTATTATATTATTGATTAACAAATACAAATAAATGTATTACTAGCGTCTATTAAAATGAAGCGTCATTTAAAATAAAATACACTATGACACAAGGGGTAGTGACGAAAAAATCTTACACCTTTTGTCGCCTAACCAGTACCGTCCGATTTTTTTTTATAGAATAAGGGCAACAAACAAGCACACAGTCCACCTGATGGTAAGTGGTTGCTGTGACCCATAGACATCTACATTTATCATCAATAAAGAATATATAATATATAATACGATAAGGAACTTCGTTCCAAAATTACGGGGTAGACATTCTGCAGCTATAATATAGTTGCAGCACGAAAGGTTCGGCTCGACTAGACTAGACTGTGTGCTCGCTTGTTACCCGTAATGTATAAAAAAAGAACGAATGACCTTAATGAGCTTCCGAAGAGCTTCCTTTTTAGCGAAGAGCATCCAAAGAGCTTCCTTTTTAACTTCGTGTATATTTATAATTTTTAATAAGCAGAAGTTGTGCGAGGGAGAAAATTTCTTCTAAATCGCACAGTGGTGGACCGCCAATCATCCAGATGATATGGATGATATCGCGAGTTTTGTCGCGATGTGCGATGGTGAAATTGAGCGGCTGGAATTAGTCCGAACAATTCCTCGGAGCACTCCTTGGATAGATGCGATAAAATACGCAAAGAGATGCAACATCTCTACGCAGTGCCAGTGAGTCAAGCCGATCGGAAAGAACTCGGTCGTCGACGATTCAAACTGCTCTGCGCTGGATGCGGTCAAGTGGAAGGAGCTGGTACTGGGGAGATGATGATGACTGAGGTGGAATTCCTCGTTTCCAGTAAAAAGGGTTTCCCGGTTCTCTGCACTTACTATACGAAACAAGAGCATAGTACTCATACATAATCAGTTTAGGGTACTTTTAATTTGGCCCATTTATACAAATAAATAAAATTGAAGTGTCTGTTTGTAATGTTAAAATAATAGCTTTTTACTAAATGCATATGAATGTATATACGGTACTTATAACAAACACAATTTTTAAAATTTTTGTCTGTCTGTTTGTTCCGGCTAATCTCCGAAACAGCGGACCGATTTCGACGGGACTTTCACTGGCAGATAGCTGATGTTCTAAGGAGTAACTTAGGCTACTTATATTTGAGAAAAAGAATTACGGTTCTGAGCAACATAATTATTAAAGCCCTAAATTACACGCGGGCGAAGTCGCGGGGTACAGCTAGTCTGCAATATATCGCCAATTTGGTGATAAACTTTCGTCTAGGACGTCTCTCGCTGACTCTGAACCTTCTGCAGCATAAGTTATAACGTATTGAAAACACAATTGACATTATTCACGGAATTTATTCAACATTACATGACAATGAATATGTCTACATAATTATTTGGCTAAATTGAACAGCCTTGATTATTAAAGAAATTGTTTTACAAAAGACATTATTAACACACAAAGAGTATTTTATAGAATAATAGTTTAGAGAAATATATTATATTGATTTTTTTTTAATAACAGACTTTTACTTTTACCTCCTTATATAGAGGGTAATAGCTAATTTATACAAGCGTAGTATTTTTTTAAGTACAGTGCAAAATAATGTACCCCTTTTCAAAATATAATCATACAAAACGATGAAAAAGGTAATACAATAAAAAAATATACATCTTGTGTATTTTCTTACTTACGTATTAAAAAAAATTCTGGGTTTGACCAGGCCGTTGGAATAATTTTTTCCAGAGTGTAATTTGAAAACACTAAGTTTTTAGAGGGACTTTAGATTTTCTAGAAGAGCAAGAGTGGCGGTAGGGATGCGCTGCGACCACATGGTATTTTGGCTGTTGAAGTAATATGTACTACGTACAAGAAGAGACGCCGAGACGTGGTCGTTTACAACACGCGTTACAGCTCACGGGCTCAAACTTACTTAGTCTGTGCCATAAAAAGGTACTCTGTGCCTCCGACCACGAGCCCCGCACAGCCGTTCAGACTTTGTTCGTGGTGTCTGTTTTAGTATATACGTAGTACATATTACTTCAATGAGTTTTGCTAGCTTAATTACTTGCTGCACGGTGATACTAGCCGATGAGAATAGGTCGATGTGACATTCGGAACACATCCACAATAAATTTATTAACTTTAAGTACATTTAAAAAATTATATTCTTATAACAAACTTAGAATAAATTCTAGAATAGACTAAACCTCTTATATTATGTTGTTTTTAACAATTTCAATCATTGAAAGCAAATAAACATGGAAGTATTATTTCAAGGGAATTAAGCACACAACATGGCACAACATTTCAAACAAATTGAAACGCATTGAAACTCCATCGCTGATTAGCTAACACTTTATTGCTGATTCTCATAAGACATAGTACAGAAGCGGCGAATATAAGTCTAAGACATACCTGGCAACACTGGATCTTTTCTCTGTGATATCACCAGGGGGCGCTGTCTGCCACATCCTGAGCTAGCGCTGACTTTCGCTTACTTTATAGCGCTTGTGGAGAAATTTGTTACTCCCAATTTTGACCTACGTGTAGATTCTTTAATGACACAGAAACTTGCATTTCCAACTACCAACAAATGTTGCTACCATCGACCCCTAATAGTGACAATTTTACTAATATATACTGAGCCCTTTTTGGATCCACCTGCATCTAGATTGTGTTGGCGTGGGTGAATTTACCATAGAATTAAAAATGTCGCGGCCGCGAAACTTGTACGATTAGCACATCTAAATGTTTTAAAAAACTTCAACTATTCAGCTTGGCAGGGTACGATATAAGAATAGTCTAAATTTAGTTTCTGCGTCTCCAGATTTACAGAATGAACGAGTTTTAGTTGGCCTCTCAAATGCTGTGTTAGAACAAAAAGCGTTACTAAAAAAATGTCTCAAATTTTAAATAGACTGGGCTTCATCTAATGGTACCAACCTAAAAGCTAACACCCTTTTTAATAAAGTTTATGAACTTTTTGGGCCATATTCACCTTTCAACAAGAATTCAGACCAAATTATGCAAATTTTATGCGGAAAAAGGACAGAATGTATTGAAATTCGTCGCAATCAACGTTTAAATGAAGTGTCTGATGTAAATTTAAAAACGAGTTTAAAAAATGTGACACCTATGAAGAATTTTTATTTGGGAGGTACACAAATGTGGTTTAACACCCCATAGTGGCATGAACTCTTATAGGCTCAAGAAGGCCAACATAGATACCTTCAAAACCAAAAAAACCTTATTCTAATAATAATTACAGGAAGGCTGACAAGGAGAATTAGCCTGACAAGACTATTAAAAAGGAAAACTTTACTAAACATAAGCCTTTTCGTTCTGTAAACAGTAAGTGACAATCAAAGAAATTACAAAGTGGGATGTCCTGAGATTCTTTCAAAATCAATGAAAACAGTTAAATGCAAATCAGTTCATAATAAAAACTTTGCCAGGTCATCGAATCCCATTCAAAATTAAATCCCTACTGTACCTACTACCCATAATACAAAAGAAATATGCAACGAGAATGTAAATGCAAATGACAAATTTAATACAGAAATTAAAAGACCAGGAAATATTAGAAAAACCAGAATATATAAAAGCTTCATTTCCAAGATATTTGTTATAGAGAAGGCAGATGGTAGCCTACGCCCATTTTTCAACATGCGAGACCTCTAAATACCCAAATAATACATAGCAACAAAACATTTCAAGTTGGGTATCCCAAGCAACAGTCTCAAAATTCCTCCAAGAGAAGGACTGGATGACAAAAACAGATTTGTCACAAGCATATTTCCACTCGTCTTTAGCAAAGGTTACAAAGAATTTAGAATTTTTTAAGGATACAGCGGAGAGATCTTGCAACTCACTGCCCTCCCATTTGGACTATCTTCAGCTCCTCAAACCTTTGCAGCCATATCAAATTGGACCATGGAGGTCTTCGGAGGAGGATTTCGGATCCTGGTGTACTTATACGACTATCTATTGGTCAATCAGGACAGATCCAAGTTAAAGGTTCAGGTTGCGGAAACAGTAAACTTCTTGGAAGAATTGAAATGGCATCTAAACTATTCCAAGTCCATCTTGGAACCAATTCAGTCTAGAATACCTAGGGTTATATTGGAACACAAGTATGGACATAATGAGTCTACCCAAGAAAAAAATTAATAAGCATACAGAAGTTTCTCTCAGACTTAAAAGAAAAGAGAGAAATCCAGACTTCTGGTCCAATCTAATTATGTAGACCTAATTATTTATCGAGGTCACCTACACTGTCGCAGACTCCAGACGTTTTTGAGGAATTATATTTAATCATTACGATTCGTGACGTACAGTCAAAAGTTAACTTTGTTTCCCGATAGTTTTTAGTTTCAATTGCAATACACTTCATATCTTCATATAACTTGCTTACAACGTTTTATGTAATAAGAATAGGTTCAATACAAATTATAATTATTTAGTATTATGATTTGAGGGTATTCGTACTAAACTAGTTAGAAGCGCAATTGGTAATCCACGCTCACCATAGCTCAATTTGTGTTGGGCCATTTTTGGAGCTAGGAACACTTCCATGTTTTATTTGCGTTGATTGATTTAAATACAATATTTAAGCGTAATTAGAGCTTACACAGTAACATAACAGTAATAGTTTTGACACAAGCGTGAGCAGTGTTGTGGCGGACGGAGCAACTTTGTGGAAGTACAAAATTTACTTAAGTATAAAAATTACAAATATTAAGTGATGTTTAAATATAAAGCGATAAATTATTGTATTTACAAATGTACATACATTTGTGACAAAATTCGTCACAGTAATTACGTTATCCTTAGTATGGATAATTATTTTTTTAATATAAAATAGTTGACAGACGAACTTACAGTTCATCCATTTGTTGGTGAGTGGATACTGCAGCCCATGGAAACCTGCAAGTAACTTCAAATAAAGTCCACGAACCGATTGTCACCTCTGAGGATTAAGACGGAACGTCTGATAATTTTACTGGCTCTCGTCCGAATATATAAATTTATATTATTTTCTTAAGAGGATAACGGGTGGCAAGACATTTTATAACAGATATATTGCCGTCGCGATGTGCCCGAACAACCAAGCTACACAACCGAGATAGACAACTGCTGCTTGGACTGATTATAAGCTATGAAAAATTGATGAAATCATTAATTTGTCAATGATATACAATTTTTTTTCAACTACATTTCGAGAAGAATTCTCGTTTAGGAATCTCTTCTTATCTTTTATGATCTTAATTTTTTTCCTGGATTTCTGATAACGACGGTATAGATAAGCTATTTAGAAGGTACCTTCCTAGCTTTAATATTAATAAAACAAAACATAGGCAGTGATGGGTGTTGGTAGTATAGTAAATAAATATTAGCTCTAGTGTCATATCTAGCAACAAAACAGAGGAATACGTTTGTATGAACTAAGCGCCGCCCAGATATCCTAAGTTATTTATTGACAATCAGTTACTAAATAAAATAATTTGTTTAAATAGTGACGAGTACGTTTTGTAAACAAATACAAATAACAAATTCTAAATCGATAAAATAATCTCAGCGATAGCCACGCATCAGTATTTTTTATACAAAATAAGATTTACTTATGAAATGAATGATTTCTTATATTTACACGAATACAACACATTGAATAGAACAAATTAAATTAAACGGCATTAAATCTGTAAAATTAGTTTCATTTAACATTTAACTCAACTTATTGTAATAACACGTACTCATTTTGCAACTGACAACTTGGTTTTAGATGGAGTTTTATTTGATGTGACAAATGGCCTTACAGTCCACCTATGGTGGTGGATGGTCATTGGCTACTGCAGCCTTTAGACTCCTGCAACCAACTTCAAATAAAGGAGGCTACAGATGCGTTGTCATCTGCGAGAACTAAATTAGAATGCCTCACATCCTGTAATCATACTGGCTCTATACCGTTCAGATCGGGCCACAGACATTTTTTGGAGGCAGAAATACGTAAAGTGGTACCATCCCACACTGGTCCGAGGCATTTAAGGAGTCCTACTAACCAGTACAAATATTTATTCTACAAAGGCGGACTTAAGCCATAATGGCATTCTCTATCAGCTAAACTTTGGTGGTGCGGTGAGAGCTGTTTGTTTCGATCATTGGATAGATATGCATACAAAATATAAATTAATTTACATAATATCATGTGTGTGCTTTTGACAGGACTTAATATCAATACCAGCTCTCGTTATAATAAATTAATACTATTATTATAACAGTATATGTAAGTACATACTAATAATATTTAATAATTAAATAATACTTATGATATTTATGTATTCAACATGTTTATCATGATTTTTAATTACTGACTCATAACAAAAGTATATGTACAAAAGTATACGTTATGATTGGGAGCTTAGGACTGTAGAAAGGTTTTATTTTAGAAAATACAAAATTACATAAATAAATCATTAATTAAAATTTGTACTAGTAGGGAATATCCATCTGTTTTAAACGTAATTAATTTATGTAGAGTTTATATAGAATGTAAGATATTAAACAACGAGTTGTGTCCACATTTTCTAAAATATTCCATAAGTCTTTTTAGGTTCTCTTCTACTTCTATCGATGAGAAGCTATTTACACAATCTCGTAATACATCAAAAAAAAATTTTATACAATTTAAGCATATCGGTTATCGGCACGTAACTTGAAACCCAAACACTTGTGGTGGTTTGTTCGTGCGGATTCATTTGCCAAATTACACGAATTCTTCTTACACCCTTCCAATGTTACACTACACTAATCACTAAAATTTCAACGGATAACAAATCAATCGAGCGAGATTGTTGTCACTAATTTCGGTACTTCACACCATTCGGTCAGGTCCCAAGTAACAACTGTTATAACAGCCTCGAAAATATCATGAATATCAATATAGTTAATAACAAACATCTTTATAAACAATTTGAGCGAGATTGTAGTCACTAACTTCGCGATTTAGGTACTTCACATCATTCGGTCAAGTTTCAAGAGATATAACAACAGCCTCGAAGGGAGCATGTATATCATTATAGATAATAACAAATACCTCACATCATTCTGTCAGGTCTCAAATGAGACGACTGTAAAGGAGCAAGAATATCAATATATAACAAATACCTTATTGAACAATTTGAGCGACAATACAACAACGGTGTTCAATTAATGTGATGATGGTTCAGCATAGTGGGGGCTAGGGCAAACTGGGGGGCGTGACGACGTGCATTTGCTTGGCGGGCACGCGATGGCCCTGCGCCAGCTCGCCCGTGCGCCACGCACGATATTTCAGGAACGCGTCGAACCCATACAACACCATCGCCAAGTAGCCGAAGAACTGCGGACAAAAGTACTAATTCTAAAGAGCTATTATTTTTTAATAATGTTAACCGTAAACCTCAGACCAACAGAGAAAGAAAGACGAAAAGCTGAGTACATTTCAAGTGACACAAAAACCAAGTCAAACCCATGCTTTAACATAAATTATTGTAAGAACACACACTCACGTACACATATGCATCTAAAATCTATTGCAACCAATAACATAGTATTACATGCTTATGTGTGTATTCAGGAGTGAAATTTTACGAGCTGATAAAGAAGGAAAGACGAAAGATGTGTGCGTGAGTGCGTGTCAAATAGTTGAGAATGGTTTCGGCGTCACTTCAAATCTTTCTTTGTTATTCTAAGTCTTACACTAGAAAATTCTCCTGTGTCGTAAAAACATACATAAATTGAATAATATGGGCATTCAGACTCGGACAATTGTTTGTAGGTCATATAAAATATTTATTCTGTGCGGGATTCGAAGCCACGGCCCTCAGCTGCGTCGCAGTGAAACGCTTAGCCACCGAGCCGTCAAATGGCGTTGGCGTTTTCGCTATCGCGAGGCAATGATCTTCATCACATTTCAATATTTATTAGACCTTTAAAATAAGCATCAAAATCTATCGGTGTTTCTATTTTTAGAACGCAAAATTAGATAGATACCTTTAAAATATTTCAAGGTAAGCAGGTAAAAGATATTCTAATAAAGAAGGGACATTATAAATTAGATTCATATTTAAAAAAAAAACATGCGTTAGTGTCGTGGAACACTGTTGGAACGAAGTTCCTTATTATTGATAAACGTATTATATTATTGATTAACAAATACAAATAAATGTATTACTAGCGTCTATTAAAATGAAGCGTCATTTAAAATAAAATACACTATGACTATGTGTGAGTGGTTGCTGTGGCCCATAGGCATCTACAACTATCCTCGATTCAGAATCAAAATGCAGATGAGTTGTCGCCGCTGAGGAGCAAGATGGAATGCCTCGTTACCAGTAAATTGGATCTCCGGCTCTCTACACTCACCATACGAAACACTGCAGCATTATTCTGCTGTTTCACTGTCAGGTAGGCCCACCACGGTCCAGTCGTCCCATTCATAACATAAACACTCACGCCTGTCACCCAGAGGGGTAGGTAGAAACTATGGACTTCCATTTGGCATGATCCTGACACACCTCTCTCGCTTCCTCCACATCCATATACATACGCATACACGCTCGTCGGTTAAAGGTCCTCGATTACGAATCAAAATGCCCGTGAGGACTAAGATGAAATGCCTCGTTTCTAGTAAAAAAGGCCTCCGATTTTTACACTCACCATACGAAGCAGCAGCGTTGAGCCGGTCTTTTACGCTGGTATTCTGTGAGAGTGTGGTACTTCCCCGGTCGAGCCGACCTATGCGTGCTACAAACTACTGATATAGCTAAATAAACTATACGAGGGGCACACTGAAATGATCGGGAATAGAATATTTCGGATTGAGTTACAATAAAACCTTAGAATCGTAATGACATTCAAACAATTAAAAAAAAATGTTTAAAAACAAAAACTATGTTGGTTTAAAGTTGAGACGTCGTTAACAGTAATGGAGCACACGCGTGAACATTTCCGTGCCATAATTTATCACAATTTTCGTCGCGACTTGTTTTAATTTATGATGTTGAAGCACCGAGTCAAACGAGACAATATGCCGCTGGTATGCAGAGTTCCGACGCGGTCGTGTGTCGCTCAGCACTGTTTCTTCTGCAGGTCAACCAAGAACAGCGGTCACGCCTGAAAACATCGCAGCTGTGCGAACTATTATATTAGATGACCGCCATGTGACATACGAGCAGATTCGAAAAGCATATATATTTGTCCGAAGAGCAAAAGGTGGCTCGTGTAGGTTGGTGCCGGCATACTCTGCAACGCTTCAACGGAGGGAAGTCAAATGCCGTTTATAATATCGTCTCAGGTCATCAGTCAGCAGTTTGGCTCTTCGAAGACGAGGTCAAACCAACGAGTGGTTCCCTCCCGCAGCGTGTCAACGAAAATAGTCGCTACGTTTGTCTCGAAAAAGAGGCATGTTGCTACAATACCTTTACAGGAACGCAGAACGGTTACCGCTGAGTAGTATATCACGGTTTGTTTGCCAGAAATGATAGCCAAACTCCGAAAAAATAACCCGAAACGTCGCATCATCTTACATCACGATAATGCGAGCTCGTATACGGCTCGGAAGACAAATTATTTTTTGAAGCAGGAAAACGTTGAGCTGATGAGCCATCCTCCGTACAGTCCTGACCTGAGCCCAAACGATTTCTATACATTCGCTAGAATGAAAGATTTATTACGCGGTCAACGGTTTGAAGACCCCGAAGCAGCTGTGGAAGCGTACAAATCATCCATTTTGTCAACATCAACTTCAGACTGGAATTAATGTTTTAATGATTGGTTTGCACGAATAGAAAAGTGCATTAAGTTGATCGGAGAATACTTCGAAAAACAATAAAATACAATTTAGCTATACGGTGCATGTGGTTTTTCTTATTCCCGATCATTTCAGTGTGCCTCTCGTACTACTAATATAGCATCAGCACGACTATACTACTAATATAGCTGCAGCATGGCTCTACCGGGTAATTGTAATTTGAAGGGCTAATTTACCACGTATTCGGCGTCAAAAGAAAACATGTGAGGTGTCCTTCGTACATGTGAAATAAAATATTTCGACGATATGAGAAGTCCGTTAACACGCAGTGAAAATGAATGAATAATAGTATTTGCTTTGTACAGGTTACAATAGAGATAGAGATAAACAGAAAGAAAGCGCCTGGTCCAGACACTAAAAGAGCATGCAAATAGCAGTCCTTGCAAAACTAACTAGTCCATAGCCTTGTTGGAAGTAGGTATGTGCTCAATATTGGGACGTATATAATACGCTGTTTAATTTTTTTTACGCTGATAAATTATCTAATGTTTAAATTCATTTTTCCACACACGACGACATAAAGTCAGTAATTCTTTAGTCAAACATTCGATATTAGCTTTTACGACAAAAGCCCAGAAAAGTAACATTGCATAAATTCGTGGTAGAGTCATGCTGCAGCTATAGTAGTATAGTTGTAGCACGAATGGGTCGGCTCGACCGGGGAAGGACCACGCTCTCACAGAATACCAGCGTAAAATAGCAGCTTAAAACTGCTGTGTTTCGTATGGTGAGTGTAGAGAACCGGAGACCCTTTTTACTAGAAAAGAGGCATTCCATCTTAGTCCTCACGGGTGACAACGCATCTGCATTTTGATTCGCAAGCGAGGATAGATGTAGATGTCTATGGGCCACAGCAACCACTTACCATCAGGTGGACTGTGTGCCCGTTTGTCACCCTATCCTATAAAAAAAAGAAAATAGGATTTTTATAACATTACTAGCTGTTCCTCACGACTTCGCCCATGTGGAATTTATTAAGATTGCATTTCGTCGGTTTTAATTATTTTGCGCGGAAACCTAATTCTTTTTCTTTATCTAAAATAACAGTAGCCTAAATTACTCCTTATACCCCGTTTACACACTCGCGCAAGCGGCGAGGCGAGTCGCGAGCGGTTTTTTGGGCACGAGGCAAAGGGCCTCGCGAGGGACGCGAGCGTGGTGTTTACACTCGCGCTCTCGTTTCAGTTTGTTTACGGCGCCCTTCCATAATAACATTTTAATTGCTTTTGTTTTAAAATTACAATTTTAACAAAATAATATTATTTAATCTTGCACAATAGGTACTAGCAATTTATATAAAATTATGAAACTGAAAAGGATCTGTTTCGATGAATAGATATCATCCACCATATTCTTTCCACCGTATTTTTTTTTAATTTCCTTCTTTTTAAAATGGTCAAGCATCGATAAATACTTATTAAGGCAAGAGTTGATGCCTCTATTATTTCTACATCTTTCATCGTTGCTGGCTCAACTCAAACTGTACGCATCGCGAGCTTAAACAGGCACTCGGTACCTTGCAAAAACACTCGAGCTGCGAGGCGAGGTACGAAGCGAGGCGCGAGGCGAGAGTCTAAACCCGGTATTATAACATCAGCTATCTGCCTGTGAAAGTTCCGGGACAACCTATCCAGCGATTTCAGCGATTAGCCGGAACAAACAGACGGACAAAAATTTTAAAATTTGTTTTTTGATATATGTATCGTATATACTTTCATATGGATTTAGTAAAAAACTGTTATTTTGACATTAAATACAGACACTTCAATTTTATTTATTTGTATAGATAACATGAGTTGTTAAGGAAGGACTGAGAATAAGACGATCGTTGTCAAGCTGTTTCTAAAATTATTTTTTAATTGGTTATTATACAACTAACTGTTTACTACGGTACATAATTATGTTGAATAAAAATGATTCTGTTGTTATGTGTTGTGTGTGTTTAGGTGTTTTGTTAACACCGCAATGCAAAGCGTGAGGTGAACAATAGACATTCTTGTGCATTGTACGTTTACGGGCATTATACAATTGACAAGACTTCAATTCATTACTGTGGGATATTTCTATAATGTTTTCCTCTGGTTAGGTTGTAAAAACAAAGATAGAAAAATGACGTCATAACTCTAGAAATGTTTACTTTTAACTTTATTTTTCATCATTGTAGCCACTGTCTGCCTCTATTCCATAATGCTATGCCTGAAAAGGTACACATGTGTATTTTTTATAGATAAGGGTGACAAACGAGCGCATAGTCCACCTGATGGTAAGTGGTTGCTGGTAGCCCATAGACATCTACATCTATCCTCGATTAAGAATCAAAATGCAGATGCGTTGTCACCCGTGAGGACTGAGATGGAATGCCTCGTTTCTAGTAAAAAGGGACTCCGGTTCTCTACACTCACCGTACGAAATACAGCAGCATTAAACTGCTATTTTACGCTAGTATTCTGTGAGAGCGTGGTCCTTCCCCGGTCGAGCCGACCCATTCGTGCTGCAACTATACCAGTAATATAGCTGTAGCATGGCTT